TTGCATACACATATATATAATAATATCAAAACATGTCTAACATATGTAATAATACATGCAAAATAATTTACCTATAGAATAAATGAATGTTGATTGATTGCAAGCAACACATAATAATAACAAATGTGCCTAGTATATGTAATAATACCTGCAAAATAATTTACCTACAAAATAAAAGGATGTTTTTAGCCAATTGATTCAAAGTTAATTTATTACCTATATTCTACTTTAAAATAAAGGTAATTTATTTCACACAGATATAATAATAACAAAATGTGCCTAATGTATACATGCAAAATAATTTACCTACAATGATTGTCAAACAAATATAAGAAATGGAATAGATGATGGTAAGACAAGTATAAAGTAGATACTTTTGTAATAATAAAGCACTTATTTGCTATAATTAAGGTGAATAATTAAATTCATCAACATAATTAGGGTGTTGTGGCACAATTGTAAATATTTTGAAAATAATAGGTATTTATTTGTTTACATGGAAGTTTATTTCAAATTTGGGTTTTATTTGGATGTTTAAAATGAGATGGGTTTTGGTCAACGAAATAAGTGTTGCATGGGCTTATATCTATAGAACCCTATAAAATATCACCTACTCCCTCAGTTGTTTGTAATTTGCAACGGCATACTGTTGAATTCTTCTACAATCTCTCTCTCGAGTGCAAGAACACAAAGAAGAAGGCGCAAGATGGAGGAGTCAAGTGATCGCAAATACTTTGAGGGCACGAAAAGTGATTACGATATACGCACGGGGAAGTATGATTTTTTGGTTGCGTCGAGTCGGTTTATGATCGACGTAGAGCAAATGATGCAGATAATACTTTGAAAAGAGATTTCCAAAGCATGTGTGACGAGAATGATGATGATACTGATTCAGAGCGTTCGGAATGCAAGCAGCAGAAGGCGATGGTGAAGAAGAACAAGATCAAGAAAGACACGGCAGGCTCGATGAAGATCGCGAAGAAGAAGAAGAGAAATGCTCTGATCAATGACTCGGACCATTGGTTATGCAACTCACGAAATTATGATTACCGGGGATAAGGGAATTCGAAATTGTAAACTCAATAATTGAAAATCATAGTGGTTTGTTTTCTTATGTGTTTTGGGGTTTTAGTAGGCACATGTTTTCTGTATTAGGCGAATTTGAAATAGTGAAACTCATGCTGTATTAAGGAAAACTTATTTGGACAACACAGGAGTAAAAATGCATGCGGAAATCATTTCTCTTGCTAGTTATTATAAGTTAAAATTTATCCAATAGCTCTAATGAACTGAATTATCGATAAGATGTACACCAATTAATCCAGAAAAGAACATGTAAGTGATAACATGGAAGATTCTGGTGGTGTTCTCACAGGAAAAGTTAGGACAGGCTTTGGTGGTATTTGCAAGGCTTCAATACTTCCTTGCAGCATTTCAATCACTCTACTCATAGATGGCCTATCTGATGGCTTCGTCTGTATGCACCACAACCCTACCAAAATCATCTTCCTCGCGAGTTTGTTTTCCTCTTCTGTCACACCATTGGGCAACCCTAAACTGCTGCCCATCTCAAGCTGCTTATAAACCCAATCCGGAAAACAAACATCACTCGTGTGGCTAGCTCGAGCATTGATGTTCTTTCTTCCTCCAACCATCTCCAGAACCATCATTCCATAGCTGTAGACATCAGCCTTAACTGAAACTCCTCCAAAGTTTCTACAAAACACTTCCGGAGCAATATACCCAATCGTCCCTCTTGCATCCAACATCGACATAATACTCTCCTTCTTGAGGCATAATTTCGAAAGCCCAAAATCAGAAATCTTGGGGCAAAAGTTTTCATCCAAAAGAATATTATGCGGTTTTATGTCAAAATGTAAAATTCGCGTGTTGCATCCGAGGTGCAAGTACTCGAGTCCTCGAGCTATCCCAGTAACAATATCGAGTAGTTGTTCCACTTCCAATTGTGGATTACTCGTTTGCAAAGCATTTTCTTTGTAAGTGTACTTTTCGAGTGATCCATTGGGCATGAACTCATATATGAGAGCTTTTTTCTGACCTTCAAAGCAATACCCTAGCAAAGTGACAACATTGACGTGGGAAGTTCTACTAATGCTTGCAACCTCGTTTATGAAGTTCTCTCCACTCCCTTTGGATGCTTTGAGAACCTTCACAGCGACAGGACTACCATCCAGCAGATTGCCTTTGTACACCTCTCCATAACCTCCTTGACCTAGTTTATCTTTAAATGACTTGGTCATTTTTCGGATTTCTGAAAACTTGTATCTTTTTACTGATAGAGGTCCATTAGTCCTTATGAAAGCCTCGAGATCTTGATTGTTGCTTCTCTTGAAAATTTGCTTCCTAGCTTTAATACAGCAAACAATAACACAGATTATGAGCCCAGTTCCTGCAGAAGGAGCAGCTGCAGCAGGCCACAAGATGATTAATGGTTAATAAAATGCAACAACAACAACCAAACCCTATCCCACTAAGTATGGTCTGTTGTATGAATCCTAAATCGTCATTGCGCTCAGCTTTTTATTATGAATAGAAATAGGACAATAGGGTGATGGAGTATGTTGCTTTCTCTTGCAGCATTTGTATGAAAGAAAATAGTACACCGTAATATAGCCGTAGTAATAACTGTTGGAAGTGATTTTCGCACTCTGTTGATTTATTCATTTAAAGGGGTTGCTGATATATTACCTATAATAACCTTCCTTTTCCAGTTCCATGCATCGTCTGCAAAAGCAATCAAAGACGCAGAATTCTTAGCAATCAATGTAAGCCTCAAACACGCATATTATCTCTGCTCTAAGCTAATCAACGCGAACTAGCATGGCTATCTACAAGCACAAATACTGCAGAAGAAATCTACACTATGGGCAGTTTTTCTAAAAATTCAATCATAACTAAAAGGGAAAAGTTTACTACAGAAGTACCATCATCACAGGTTTTGACATGAGGTCGATCACTGCAAAAACACACGAATTCATTGTCATCGAATCCACAGCGTCCGCCCTCCACTAAAATGTTTTTGGTCAAAGAGAAAAATAGACACGGAAATAGTATTTTGATGATATTTAGTGAGGCATATACATCACTTTCGCACTAATGTTGACTTTTGATTTTTAAACAAGGAATGAGATTTAGAAAAATCAGTGCTAAATACCGAAAAATTGGAAAACCTATACTCTAGCCAAATTCAATGAAAATCCAAAGTAAACGAATAAAGACTGAAAATAAATTGAAAAAACCGAAGTTACTGTAAGTTTATTTAAATTATGGGGAGGCAATTCAAACTTCACTGTAAAAAGATGTGACAGTGTTTGTAACGGTTATATAAAAATTCATCTAAATTATGGGAAAGTGATTCAAATTTTATTGCGGATGATGAAGCATATTATTCTAATAGACTTGACTTAACTCAAATATGTAACAGTATATAATTGAAGTTGCCTGATTTTTACTAATAATGGAAACTCCAAACTAAAAACCCTACTTTGAATCAGACTTGACCTCAATTACTATCCCTAATCTTAAATTAAACCAAGAAAACTGATCTGAAGAAATTAACGGAGAAATTAAGAAGAAATTGATACACATACCACCAGGAATCGAACATATTCGATCATAAGGTCCATCGCCGCAATAACAGACAAACGAATCAGAACTCGAGTTCGACCCACAGGTTCCATGGGACATTAAACATCGTTTACAGATCTCCCACTCCGCATCGTACGCCACCTGAAACCCCTGTTTCAAAACCTCTTTGAGCACACCCGTCGTCACATTCTCCAGCGGCATAGCATCCACACCCATAATCGGAACTCGAATATTCGTATAGCATGAGGTCCAATTTTTCAGACGAATCCTCGAAAAAGAGTCGTCGACATAGTACGAAATATTGTGGTCCGTACGCTCTACCTTGCAAGTGAAGTTATTGAGTACTGACTCGCTCTGCGGCAGGCAGCCGTAGAACAGCGACAGGTTCCGAACATCTTGGACGTACGAAAAACGGTCGTAGTCCAACGTGGTGTTGACAATGTCGGTAGTGCAGGGGGTGTCCCAGAGATCTGAGCGAGCGATTGTCATGGTGTAAAACTGTCCACTAAAGTTCAACACAAGAAAATCCTGGTCCTTAATTTTCATGACAGGGTATTGATCTTCTCGGCAGGTGAGCTCGTAGTCTTTGCGGCCGCAGTGTTGGGAGCGGCTGCCGGTGGCCCAGAAGGGGTAGGAGATGTTTTTGAGGAGGCCGCAGTTGTAGTAGCTGCGGCACTCTGAATATTGGAAATTGTCATCCCCAATAGCAGAGGGGACGACAATCAAGAAGTTGAAGATGAAGAAGAAGATAGGTAGTGTTAGGAATATATGATTAGGCATAATCATTCGTAATAAGATATTCATAACATGCACATTAATCATCACGTTCAAAGGTGTTTATGTAGTACGAACTCAATTACGAATTGAGGTGGGCTTCTCGGCATTTTCACTACAATGCTTAAGAAAGAGGATGCTGTGTCTGCTGACTCTTCGTCGTTTGACAAGTTTTGTTCAAAGATTAGAACACTTGCATACCCCCAAAAAGGGGTTTATCAGAACTAATCAACACTAATATTTATTTTTCAGCCCCCACTCTTACTTTCACCCAATTAAATTTAAACACATATCTCGTTTGTATTAACAATTTTAACACTATTTAAATCTGAATAGATAAAAATAGAAGTTGCTGAAAAAATTTCAGCATCCAAGTACAGCTTCCTTAACAACTTTTACATCTTTACACGTATGATATATTTGTCTTTTTCCTAAAAATGTGAAAAGGTGTGTGCAGAAACTATTTTCTTTCGTGTTATTCATACCTTTTTTTTTTATACTATATTTTCATATTATTTTAGATGACATTTGATGTGGATATTCACATTATTAGTCTTAACTATTTTCTTCCATCTTAAATACTAGCTGTTGAATTATAAGAAACAGGCCCCGGATCAAACTGTTCAACTGTTGGATTTGATTGGATTTAATCCAAAACACGCGTGATAAGACTTTCTGCCAAAGAAATGCGTGCCTTCACCAAACTTAATGAAGACTTTTCTTCTTCCTGCCAAGTTGCGTTTCCATCATCAAAGGAAATGAAATTATGAAACTTTTCTTCTTCCTGCCAAGAAACCAAAACCATTTCTCAAAAATCTTACAAAACCCACAAATCCCTAGAATCCAATCCAGGAATCGTCCTTGAAACTGGGTTTTTCTCCCACAAAACCAGTTCCTTTCCCGACCCAAATATTCCTTCTTTCTTTAATTTCAGATGGATCTTCACAAAAATTCAACAACTATCGTTCTGGTTTGTTTCTGTGATTCTCTCCACGTTGTTTTCCAACACGTCGACAAACTTCGTGTTCTCCGTGGGTTGGGTCTGATTCTACATCTCAAAATCCTTATACCTGCCCCGCCCTGACCTGTTGCATTTTAAAGCGGTCCAGTCCGGTCCCTTCAAATTTGGGCCTGACCCGGCCCGGCCCGTGCCCGTAGGAGAGTACATCCCATATATCGAACATTTTATTCTCTAATCTTTTGATTAAATAATTGGCTATCAACAGGAGGACAAGAGACATGTTATTGTTACCTCCCCCAAATGACTATCTACTAAAACACAGGACAAAAGCACTGTTCATTAACAGTGTTTTGACGCTTTTGGCCCTGCTTTGTCTTCCCGCACACTATCTTTTTTCCAAACTCTACAGGGAAATGACGGAACTGTCCATGAAGGACACGCGTGGATCGTCTAATTGAAAACCTGTCTACAAGCTGTGCTGTCGTTCTCTCTCTTCGACAACACTCTTCTTCTCTGACGAAAAATCTGACCAGAGGCTCAGAAACCTCTCGCTCAATTTTCTCGAACTCTCAGCAAACTTCATCCCATCAAACTTCAATTCGTATTATTGAAGAAATGAATAATAAATTTTCTCTCAGAAATTCAAGAAATGAAGATTCTGGGTCTGTCTTTGTCTGTAGTGGAGACCCAATCTGAATTGTGTGTTCTTCAAGGTCGATCTCGGCCGAGGGATTTAGATCTCTTTATTTTTCCAGATTTTCGAATTATTCCTTTAGAATTAGGGAATTAAATTGTTCCTATTATTCGGTAAAAATCTAAAATAACTTGCAGCTTTGATTCGGCCTTTGCATGTTTGGTTTGTGGTATTTGAAATTATGGTTTGTTATGGGGATTAGATTTTGGGATTTAAGTTGAATTCGTATGGGTATTTTTTCAGAAATTTCTGTTGTTTCTGTGTTGGAATTAAAACAACTATGCATGCTGGATTTTCACATAAGTGTCTCTGCTGTTTTTTTTTTTTTTTTTTTTTGAGTGTTTATATTGACAATTATCAACAATTGAACAAGAGGAACAGGCGCTGAACAGGCAAAGAAGAGCCGGTAGGTGACAATTACCAACAATGAAGAAGACTGCAATACCACCAACTCAACAGACAGAGGTTGCACCTCTCAACTTGAGTGGCAAATGAAGAGCTAGAAGGAACAGGCGCTGATTCCCAAAGCCTCTATGCAAGGGTGAGTACCTATACACTACAAATGTTGTTTAATTGACTTAAATTGGTTAATGTAATTGACTCAAATTTTTACAAGCTTTCATCTTTTCTTTTAGAAAAATATAAATTTGATGTCTTAGTTTCCGAAATGTTGTTTAATCTACGATTCGATTTCAGGGATTTGATTTCATTGACTTTATGGGCATTTGTATCAATGGTCAATAAATTTAAAAAGCCATTGACTGCAGGATCTGAGTAACCTTGATGCGCTGCTCAGGTCAGCTATGGCTTTTGGATGGTTAAGGAATAAGTCGTAAACCTCAGATTTTTATTTTCTCTCCTCTTTCCTCTTTATTTTTTCTTGGTACAAGTTTTTATTTATTTTATTTTGAAATGTTACTGGCTGAGGGCTATTTTTGTTGGTTTGGGTAAAGTACTTTTGTGTGTTTTTGTTATCCCCCTCGAGTGTACCGATGTACCCAAAACCCGCTTCAAGATCAAGGTTCTTCTTTCTGTTCTATGAACATTAGTTTTTTTTAGATATCTAATGAAAATGACGTGAAAATTTCGAGTTCTAACAATAAAGACAAAATAAAGGTTTGAGTGAATAGAATCAGGATTGAATTTTTAATATAGAAATATGGTTTTTCGTTAAAATGAACAGTACTATGAACATTTTATTAAAGTTCTCGTTATCTTAATTTTCATCTCTTTTTCATTTGTATTGCGTAATAAATCAGATTTGATAATGTGGGTGTGGGGTGCTAGATTTTAGTTAAGATCATGAATTGATGATTCTGATTTGAATCACAAGGTGATATTGACAACTTTTGTCATCTTTATCAATGTAAAATGAAACAATACGCCTAATATATTTTGCATGTAAATAGCCCAGTGGCTCGTAATTTTTTGTAAGTAGGTACTACCGTATGTTACAGAAACTACCTAAATGGTATGCGTTGATCTAATCATTTTTGCATGTATGTAAAATCAAATCTATGATTTTTAGCATGTGGACTGTATTGATCAATTTTTTTGTATATAAAAATTTTCCAAACCTTTACAAATGTATATAGTATTAACCTAACAATCTTTTATGTCTTCCAAACATAATCTTTCATACAATTTTTAGTCCCGCAGCAACGCGCAGACTTTGATTTCAAGTATCATTTTCTATAACTTTAAGGATAACATCAAGGGATTAAAATTTTAAACCAAATTAGTAAATTAAAAGATATGTCATCAATAAATAAAAAATAAGCATGCTAATCAACACTAAAAATAACCTGATTGTTAACATCCACACTATTTAGTTTATAAAATTTGATCTTTTGAGCATTACCCTAGCAAAATTACACTTATTCCTTCTTAATGATTTTCAGTGAAGAGTTTTCATGTAGCAATGTTGTTTGATTCTATAAGCTTTGGTGAGTTAGTAAGTATTCTAATTTTTATTTTTATTTTTTCAAGTTAAACACAGTCAGTGGGTAGGTAGTGAGTTCACACTAGGTTGTAAAACTTCCATAGAGTTCACGTTACTTTGTAATGAGAAAAAGACACTAAACAAGTTTCACACGAAGAATCAATTATAATATGACAGGTGAAAATAACAAGGATTTTTTCTTCCAATAGTTCTTAAAGTATTTTTATATTAAAGAGTTATTATTCTTAGATTTTTCAGTGCATATCATAAGTATGCATTTAAGTTACACATCTAAACAGAAACATTAAATTATTTAACTTCGTTGGAATCTAATGGCTTTTATTCATGTGTAACTTTACTTTTACTTTTAATGTTCATTACAGAAAATTCAGTGGATTTTATTTCTAATTTACTAAAAGGTTAAACTATTTTTTTTTCTTTTCTTTTTCCCAATTATTATTACTTTTGGGCCGATGAAGCTAAAAGATAGCTCAAAACACAACGGGGCACCACATAAGGAGTAGCCCAAATGTGACTGCAAAAGTGGGTAGTAACGGTCGATAGCTCAGCTCAACGGGACAAAAGGATAAATGATAGAGTTAGTTGGTTTAATTATTAGTTGTTGGGAGAAAAGGAGATCAGTGGGAACATAACCCTGAATCATAATTTTAATCATGTGGATACTAGTCAGTTGTTCGTTTTGGGTAATAATTTCAAGCACATCTTTACATTTAGGACCTTTAAATATAATAAAATGGATGAGAGTCAAAGAACAATGTTGATAGCATGAATTTTACATCAGGAAAAAAAATGAACTTTGTATGTGCTTATAAGTAGAGCTACTCCTCATATTGCAAATTGAGTTTATGGTGGAATTTCAATTTTCATCATGGTACTAGAGAGCAGGTTGTTTTATATATTAAGTCCAACGGCTTCACGCTATGTTTTAGGCTTGAAAATTCACCACACGTGAGGGTTAAGAAAATGAATCTTACATTTAAAAAATAATGGATTTTGAATGTGCTTATAGGTAATGCTACTCATGGACGAAGCCAATGAAGGCTCTTTGGGAGCAGACGTCCCCACTCAAGTAATTCGTTTGTTTAGTTGCATACTACAATTATATAGTATACACGGGTTGTCTTTGAAGAAAATATATATATCTAATATCCAACATACATTCATTCTACTTGTACTCCATATCAAATATTATATGAGCAACAGTACTCTTGTTCTGTCATTCAAACCAAAAAAACCCTCTCTTGCTTATCATGTACTTATAGTTTTCTCATCACTTTGCCACTTTCCACTACTATATTGAAATTTTTGTAACTTTGGAATTGTGATTCATCATCATTTGAAACCAATCTTTAATATCACATTGTGTATAATCATACTATAATAAGGTTTTCTTAGTAGTTTTCGATTGCCCTACTAGAAGAAATTTCTAGTTCTGTCCTTGATGCTACTTATGGTAAAATCTCAACTTTCTCCAAACAAAATAAACATGATTGTTCAAAAGAAAAGGGTAGGCATACATCATTTCTATTCGTTTTTAGTATTCTTTCTTTCCTCTGTTTTTGTTCGGAGAGAAGAGGTGAGATCAAGAAGGAAAACGAACAAAATCTACAGACACTTCTTATTTGCTGATGAGTGGGCGACATCTGCACAATCTAATGACACACAACACCTTTTCTTGATATTATTAGTTTTTTGGAAATACATACATGGGTTTTTAGTATTTACGATTTACACGCAGAACAGAACAAGGTAAAGTAAATGCGGTTAGACTAGTCAACCCTTCATGAACTCCAATTAGATAGCTAATCAAAGGCCTTGAGACATTAGATCGCCATCCAAGGAGGAGTCGGAGATGCTACACTTGATACTTTCCAGCAGTGGGCTGAATATCTTATTTAGACTTTTTTTTTTTTTTTTTTTTTTTTACTACATCGATATTTTTACACTAAGATGAAAAAGAGTTCGGCAAAACCACATAATAGGCAGCCTAATTTGGTATCGAATTTGCCATCTACGGAATTCGAACTTAAAACCTCTCAATTCCAAGTGGAAAGGTGTACTACCAGACCGTAGTACTAAGTGATAATATCTTAGTTATTAGACATGAAGAAAGTTGAAATTCCGTCATAAAACTAATTGGTAATATGAAGAATAGTCCAATTACTTATAAGCACATACAAGGTCTTTTTTTTTTTTTTTTAATATGTGAGATTCATATTCTCAACACATCATTAGATGTGTGCCATTTGAGAAGCACTATCAGCCATGGTCAAGAAAGGTGATTTGTATCTTACTGTCTTCTCATATGCAGATTGGGTAGGAAGTGATTCACCTTTCCGAGATTGTTTCCTAATTAGATGTGGATTTTGTACAAGTTTTGGCCTTTTGAGCAAATAAAAACGTTTCCTATTTTTTTAGGTAACGAAAATGTTTCCTAGTATTAGAAGGATTATATCCATTTACTTGAAGTCCAATATTTCCTAACCACACAAGGAAACCTGCCCTATAAAATATCACCCACTCCCTCAGTTGTTTGCCATTTGCAACGGCATACTGTTGAATTCTTCTACAATCTCTCTCTCGAGTGCAAGAACACAAAGAAGAAGGCGCAAGATGGAGGAGTCAAGTGATCGCAAATACTTTGAGGGCACGAAAAGTGATTACGATATACGCATGGGGAAGTACGATTATTTGGTTGCGGCGAGTCGGTTTCTGATCGAGGAGGAGCAAATGATGCAGAGTAATTCTTTGAAAAGAGATTTCCAAAGCATGTGTGACGAGGATGATGATGATACTGATTCAGTGCATTCGGAATGCAAGAAGCGGAAGGCGATGGTGAAGAAGAACAGGGTCAAGAAAGGCACGGGAGGCTTATTGAAGATCGCGAAGAAGAAGAAGAGAAACGCTCTGAGCAATGGTTCTGACCATTGGTTATGCAACTCATGTAATTATGATTACCGGGGATAAGGGAATTCGAAATTGCAAACTCAATAATTGAAAATCATAGTGATCTGTTTTCTTATGTGTTTCGGTGTTTTATTAGGCACAAGTTTTCTCTCACATCCTAGATCGGCTTCGTTGTAGCATGATATTGTCCACTTTGAATTTACCATTCTTCCACGGTTTTGTTTCTGGGAATTCACGGGCATTCCCTCACGGTTTTGTTTTTGAGAACTCATGAGCAACTTCCCAGTGGGTCACCCATCCTGGTATTGCTCTCACCCAAACTTGCTTAACTTCGGAGTTCCGATGGAATCTGAAGCCAATGAGTTCTCAAAAGGCTTCGTGCTACATGTATGTACATATAAGACACATCACCCCCTCTCCGTTGGTCGATATGGGATTTTACAATTCACCCCACTTAACGCCAGCACATCCTTACCGAACGACAGAGTGGCTCTGATACCATTCTGTCACATCCCATACTGGCTTCGCTGTAGCACGATATTGTCCGTTTTGGGCTTACCATTCCCTCACGGCCGTTAGTCGATGTGGGATTTTACAATCCACCCCACTTCACGCTAGCACATCCTTACCGAACGACAGAGTGACTCTGATATCATTATGTCACATCCTAGACCGTTTCCGTTGTAGAATGATATTGTCCGCTTTGGGTTTACCATTCCCTCACTGTTTTGTTTTTGGGAACTCATAAGCAACTTTCTAGTATGTCACCCATCATAGAATTGCTCTTACTTGAACTCGCTTAACTTCGGAGTTACGATGGAATCGAAGCTAGTGAGTACTCAAAAGGCATCGTGCTATATGGAGGGGAGCATGTACATATAAGGCACATCACTCTCTTTCCGTTGATCGATGTGTGATCTTACATTTTCTATATTAGGCGAATTTGAAATTGTGAAACTCATGCAGTCCCCTAGCGCATTCTCTTTTTCTGGGAAACCCTTGGCTTGGACATTGCAAGGAAAGGAAATGACATTTATCCAAAAGATCAATTCATTACTACTACATAAAGCACTACATTACATAAACAACCACATATGCCTTTACTAGAGCTTTAAAAGCATTATGCTAACTATATTAATTATTTAAAAAAACATAAAGAAGTCAAAGGA